TTACAAAACAGGAAAATGACTGACATAATCCAGCCACATCAGTAATTTCACTATATGTGCATGGTCTAGACATTGCAGTCAAAAGATAGAGTTTAACAGATTCTTAATGTTTTGCATTTTTTACAATCTAATTATGTGCTGTCTGTAGGAAATACTTTAGCTTCAAAGTACAAATACACTGGAAGTAAAAGGATAGAAGAGGATATATTAGGCAAATTATATTCATAAGAGAACTGGTATGGTCATGTTAATATCAGTCAAAAGAGACTGCAAAACAGGAAATATTACTAGAGACTAATAGCAAAATTTCATGGTGCTAAAAGGATCATGACATTAGGAACATACAAGAGTATTTGTTGTGTATGCATTTAATAATAGAGTCCCAAAATAAAACCAGTAAAAACTGATAGAATTGAAAGGATCAGGAGAAATTTAACTTACAGCTGGAGATTTCAAAACTCTATTTTCAATTAATAGAACGACTAGAATGAAAAATTCACGTAAAGAAAACTATATCGACCACTTTGATCTGATACATATTTTTTTTTTTCAGACTCATAGGTCATTCTCCAGACTAGAGCATATTCTAGGCCGTAAAGGAAGTCTCAATTAATTGAAAAGGATTGAAGTCATCCAAAGTTTGTCCTCTGAATAGATTGGAATTAGATAATATGTCATTTCCAGGAAGAAATGTGTTTAAACAATACATTTATAAGTGACCCACAGGTCAAAGAAGAGTTAACAATAGAAATTAGAAAGTTTTTTTGAAATGAGTGAAAATGAACACACCAAAATTTATGGGATTCAACTAAGGTGTCTTAGGAAATATAAAGCACTAAATTAATAGCATATTTAGGAGAAAAGAATGGTCTCAATTCAGTCATCTTAAATTTCCATCTTTAGAATAATAGCAAAATAAACTCAAAGCAAATAAAAGTAAAGGTCGAGTGGAAGTTAATGAAATAAAACCTTGAAAAACAATAGAGAAAAATCAATGAAATGAAAAGTTGGTTCTTTGAAAAAGTCTTTGAAATTGATAAACCTTGAGTTTGACCATTAAAAAGAGAAGAGACAAATTGCCAAAATCAGGCATCAAAGGAGAAACTACTATCCTACAGAAATTGAAAGTATTGGAATTTTATGAGCCACTTTATAACAACAAATTGGACAAATCTTACAAAGGTATACATTACCATAAGTAGACTCAAAAAGAAATAGAAACTTTGAGTATACTTATGGAAAGTAAATAAATTACATTAATAATAAAGTATATTCTCACAAAACTTAGGCCCAGATGGCTTTACTGCTAGTATTTTCAGATGTTTAAGGAAGCATTATTACATATCCTGTGCAAAAACTCTTGGAAAATGGGAGGAGAGGGAACACTTGCAACCTATTTTAGTTGAGTTCAGTATTACCCTGATACCAATGCCAGACATAGATATCACAAGAAAACTACAAATTGTTCTCTCTCATGAACATTCATACAAAAGTTAACAAAATAACAGCAAACCAAATCCAGAAATATATTACAAGTATTAAAAACTGTGATCAAATTGGAATTATCACAGGAATGTAAGGAGGTTTAGCATTCATAAATCAGTTAATACTCTGTTAGTAAAATAATGAACAAAAATCATGTGATTCTTTCAGTAAACACAAAAAAAAAAATTTGACAAAATCCAAAACTCATTCATGGTAAAATTTTTGAACATACTATACATAAAGAAGGAAACTTTCTAACCCTGATGTAAGGTATATACAAAAATTCTATTACTTTGAGAATTTCATAACTTCCTTTTTTTTCCCATTTATATCTCCGATCCATTTCTAATTTTTTATTTATGGTGTTTAAGATCATCCCCCACTTTTTTTTGTATTTATACATGGTTCCATCACCGTTTATAGAATATACCTTTTCTACCATTGAATTCCCCTGGTGCTTTTGCCAAACTTCAGTTGACTGTATTTCTAAAGGTCTCATTTGTTTTCTCTATCCTGTTTCATTGATCTGTAAGTTGATCTAATGACATACCATCTTGAGAATTCTAGCTTTATTTTAGCTTTGTAGTATTTATCGTCTTGAAATCTGTTAATATAAATATTCTAACTTAGTTCTCCAAAATTGTTTTAGCTATTTTAGGTTTGTTACGTTTCCATGTAAATTTTTGAATCATTATGTCAATTTCTCTAAGGCAATTTTTTCATTGCATTGGATCTGTAGAACCATTTAATCAAAAAACAGGATATATATTTCATTTTATTTGGGTCATCTTTAATTTCTCTCGGCAACATTTTGTAGTGTTTTAGTTTATCATTTTGTAGGGTTCTTGTACATATTTTGATAAGTTTATCTGAGTGTTCTATGTTTTCTTCCTGTTTTTAATGAAATTAAAATAATTTTTTAGATTATTTGTTGATAATACACAGAAAACCAATTTTTGGACATTGAGCTTGTATCCTTCAATCTTGCTAATTTCACTTCTTACCAGAAGTACAGGATTTACTTAATATACAGTCATGTCATCTACAGTTGAAATATTTATCCTGCCTTTCTTATATAAACGATCATTCCCAGAACTCATAGTTGAAGGGAGTATGTTTGTTTGTATCAGTACTCTAGTTGATAAATCCAGTAGGAATGATAGAATTGTAAAATGCCTATTTCAATAGCCCTAATTACACTTTCAATAAAGGCACTGATCAAAATGGGATGCTAAACTAATAGTTGAAAAATTGAAAGGAAACTTTATAATGAGAATGTTAAGTTGATACTGTCTGAAGCCACTCACCAATTTTAACATATTAAAAAATGGGACAACCAGATAGTTTGTGCCTTTATATGCGATGTGATAAAACATCTTTTAGGCTTTTTTGTTTTTTGTTTTAGCTTCTGTTTCTCTCTTTAAAGTATATATATATTCTTGAATATGGCATATACTTTGCTGTTTTAATGTTTTTTGTCTGCTGATTCACTCATTGCTGGCAGTCCTGGGTCTGTTTTTGTTGATTGGTTTTACTGTTGGTTAATGGATTAGCTTTTCCTGTTTCTTTCCATGCTTGTTTTTTATTTTGTTTTAGTGGACATTGAACATTGTGAATTTTGTGTTCCTGGGTTTAATTTTTGTTACATTTCTTTAATGTTGTATTGGGCTTTCTTCTGACATGGAGTTTAAGTAATTGAATCCATTTGATCATTTTGTGTCTTTCATTTGACTAAATAAGTCCAGCACTTTAGTGTAGAACTAATTCATCACATCATTAAGGAAATACATTTCTGAGGACCCTACTCAATGCTGCATGTATTATGTGGTCTTTTCACTCTGGCTTTTAAATTGTTTTTTTCCTCACATATTCATAGGCTCGCCCACAGACTCAAGGGAATCTTCCTGAAGGTCACCAGAGTGCACCTGTGCACTCACACATGTACTCTCTCTCCTCTCTGCTGCTCCTTCGTTTCCTGCAGTCAACTCCATACATTTTAAGGATCTTTCTTCCTTCACTACTCACAACCCAACTAGCTCTGTGTCTTCAGTTCAGTGAGATTGCCAGGCTGTGTTAGGTTTCTCCCTTCTTGCATTGTGGCCTAGAGATTGTCTGTAGGTAATAAAATGGGTTATTGTAGAGGTCACCTTAATTTTTTTAATTCCCTCTCTTAGGGATCACAGCCTTGTCCTGCTTGTTTTCCAGTGTCTTTAATTTGTTTAATGTATCTATTTTGTCAGATTTTGAAGTTTTTTCAGATGGGAGAGTAAATCTAGTCCTGGTTAATCCATTCCGGATGAAAGCAAACTTAGAAATTAGCTTTTGTCTCATGTATTAGATGATGTAAGAAAATATAGAAGTGGGTTTTTGTTATGTACAAAAGTAATTTATTACATTTGGGTTAGAATTAGTGTTTTGTTATAAACTGATATTTGTATATAACCTTATACTTTGTGGAAAATCAAAATTTGTATAATATTGACCCTCTCATAAAAGTATGTGATATGTCACTTTCTTTATTCAAGTCCTATTTCTAGTCCATCAGTAGAATTGCATAGTGTTTATAAATACAGAAAGACTTCTGTATTTCTTCATTAAAGTTTGCTTTTTGGTATTTCATACTTTGCATTATTGGTGGTGTGTTTTAATTTTTTTGGTTAGCTACTTTGGAATAATTATTTATTTTATAATTGGCCATAGTACTTAATTTTCATTAATATAATATTTTAGGTTGCTACTATTATTTAAGTGTACTCTGCATATTAAGAATGTTAACCTTTTGTCTCATAATTAGCAAGCATTTTTTTCTGTTTCCTCCACAAAATAAAAATGATTTTATTATAAATTAAAATTAATTTATAAAATTAAAAATTCAGTTTATCTTTTAAAATGAAAACATCATTGTTTTCCCTTTATGAATGCTTTTGTTTTTGATTTGCTGAATCTCTGAATGAAGAATATAAAAATCTCATATTTTCTTTCAGTACCAATTCAATTTTAGTTTCTTCCAAAAAGCTAGCAAGTGGCTTCAACACTATTTTCAAAAATAAATTACCTCTATATCTAACTGCATTTCTTTATATATTCAAATGTGGATATTTTGAAAGTTGGTTATATCTGTTGTCTAATCCCCCTAAAATACTAAAAATAATTTACTATTATAAAATATTCCATAATTGTGGCTTTACTCTTTATTGTGTTTTTACTTGAATTTAACATATACTGATAACTGTTCAAAATTTGAAATTATGAAGGTATCTTTTATAATTAGTTTTAGAGACTAAAGGCAGACATTTAAAAGAATTTTCACACAACTGTATTGATACCAGTTACATCTAGGCAAGAAAGAGGAAAGTTTTATTTTTGTTTTTTAAAAAACTCTTACTTCATTAATGTAAGTGATAGGATAGGAATTTCTTGGTTAATATCTAGTTTTCTTTGATTCATTTTTTTTCCTATATTGACATATTTTATTTATAACCTTTGCTAAAGAAATTGTTTTTCTGTTTTTATAGTTTTGGTAAGCAGTTTGGAGGAAAAAGAGGATGTGATTGTCTTGTGTTAGAGCCTTCAGAAATGATTGTGGTAAGAACTTTAAAGAATGCTGAATTGTTTTTGATCTGCTTCAGTTTCAATTTTAAATGTAGTAGGCTTTTAAACACTCAGTGGAGGTTCCATTACTATGACTTTTTAAATATTAAGTAGCACCAAATTCATATACAATGTTTGACACATTTTCATCTACTTTAATTTTTTTCTGATCCTTGAGAGAACTTGAAACATGATATAGTTATATATATAACATGTTCCAAATTTGGTAATTGCTTTTACTACCTATACCAGAAATTCTAAATAAAGGCTTTTAAAAAGGGGCCCTTCTGCATTTGAAGCACTTTTAAAGTGTTTTCTCTTTTCCTGCTAAATTTAGTTTAATAGTCTTTGAACATCCATGTTCTGTGCTCTGAACTTGAAAGGAAGAGATGGGGGGAGGAAAGGCATGTAATTATAAATGGTTTAGATCTTAATATTTCTACTTTAACAGAGTATATTTAATGAATAACTCCTTACTTTTCCTAAGAAAGCTCAGTAGTTGATATAACTTTAGAATATCTGACTTTTTTTTTTAAGCATTTGAAGAAGCAAGAACACAGCTCCCTTTTTACCTTATTCCGAAACGACCTTACTGGAAAATAGCTTATGCTGAATGGACACCTTGTCCTACTAGCATCTTGTGTAGATGATCATGTCAGCTGATTTTGCTGTGAACTATTGAGAAGTGAGGTTGACTTCATAATGAAGCATTTTAATGTCATGGCTCAAAACTAAACTGCTTTTCCATGTCATGATACTATATCAGATTGATAGTTTCAGGTAATTTTTCTCTTCCCCAAAGTGGATTATCTATATCATGCACTAAGTGTCCTAAATTTCATATAAACAACTAGATTTTAAGCTCCTGAAAGGCAAAGATTATGTCTTACTTTGTGTCTGCAGTAATATGCCAGAGTGCTGCCTGCATAGTAAGTATTCAGTGAATGTTACTTGAATTCAAATTTGTTCAAGTCTTGGACTAGGTGTTGTTTATGTTTATTTTCTTTAAATATCAATATACATGGCTTATCAAGGCTTCAGAACTCCCTTATTTAAATAAATACATTGAGGGACACGGCAAGAAAACAGACAGTACTGGTTTATCTTTTATTTGTCATTTGATACATTTGTATTTCTCATGCTTCATGAGAAAAGAATAGTGCCTTTAATATAGTGTTCTCATATATATTGCTTTTTTGTTTTATTGTTAAATATGCTGAACATAAAATCTACATCTTAACCATTTTTAAGTGTACTGTTCTGTGCATTAAATTAATTATGAATTAATTATTTATAAACTATTAAATTAGTTTTCCCCTTAAAGAGAAAGCTTTGTCCCTGCCCCACACCTGGAGTTAGCTTTTTCTCTAAGGACACTTGCTTGCTTTTACTGGAGAATAGTATTTAGAAACCAAGATCTGACTGCTAGTTGTTTTCATTGCTCTAGATACCTCACGGCTTGTAGTGCTTCTTGGTGCACAAAGCTAGAAAACACAGGTCTGAGTGTATGTACACACACACATATGCATATGTCTATATTCCTTTATTTTTAAAACAGAGTTTATTCTGTCTTTTCCTCTTTGCTTATTTGTACCTACTTTCTCTAACAGTGAGAAATTTAGTTTCCAATATGATCAGTGTATGTACTTACACATAAGATAATATAAGAATTGCTTGCCCATAACATTGCAAGAAGTGCGACTAGCTAGAGTATTAACATGAACCAGTACACATATTTTAAGCATATGTAATTTATTGAGATTTTACAAATCTATACCTTTAATAATATGCATCTCCAACAAAATATAAAATATTTTCATTACCCACCCTATAAAGTAAGGGAATATTCAGAGAGTTTTGGGATCCAGCAAAAGGACAGAGGGTCCAGATTGAAGGGACTCCCATTGGCCAAATCTGGGACAGTTTGAGATTCCAAGTAAAAATGCATAGTAATTGGTGGCATTACCCCCCTGCCCCCCCATATATAAGAATTTGTAACTCCTGATAGGAATGAATGATTGAGGGAGAAGGAAAAGTTCTTCCTGATAGTTGATTAATCATTAATGAAAATCATTAATGAAAGCTAACCTTGTGGCTGATGTTTGATGAGAAACAATACATAGTATCAGCACATCTTCCCACAAATCCCCATATACCAAATTTCTGATAGGGAAACGTGGAGGATATCATTGTAGCAAAAATTACTGCTACCATTGTGAGTACACATACCGTCATCACAAACTGATGTCCTTTTACTCCTGATAGGATGCACTGAAAAGGACACAATCTTACTTCTGTGATAAATATCTGCCAGAAATTCACACCTAATAACCATCTAATTATTAGGAGAAATCAGACAAATGAAATTGGAGACATTCTACAAATTAACTGGCCTATACTCTTTAAATATACCAATGTCAAGAAATACACAAAGACTGAGGAATGTTCCAGATTAAAAGAGAGGAAAGGCATAACCAAATAGAGTGCTTGATGTTGTATTAAATTTTGGGGGTAGGGGTGTGAAGCTATAAATGATGTTGTTAGCACAGTTGATGAAATTTGAATATAAACTGTGGATTAGGTAATACTGAATTTCCTGATTTTGATAACTACTAGAGTTATGTAAGAGAAAGTCTTTATTTTTAGGAACTACATGCTGACATATTTCAGAGTCAAGAAGCACTCTCTTCAGGTTATACTCAGTTGTTTCTGAAAAAAAATTCACATCTATATAAAATTTAAAATTTTAATGTCACCAAAAAATTAACATCAAGTATATATATTCATGGTTGGTAATTTTTTAATGCCAAAACTGGATATTATTATGAACAGCATAGCTGAAAATGCTGTATGAGTACTTAACAGTAGAGCAGAATAGAGAGCTGAGAAATAAACCCATGCCTGTATGGTCAATTAATATATGACAAAGAGTACAGTATACTTCAGTATACTCTCAAGAAGTGAGGAAAAGACAGTTTCTTCCATACATGGTAACTTGGAAAAGAATGAACATGCTAACATGCAAAAGAATGAAACTGGATCATTGTATTACATCATGCACAACAATAAACTGTAGAAGTAGATTAAATAGCTAAATACAAGACTTGAAGTCATGAAACAGAAGAAAACATGCAGTAAACTCTTGAACATCAGCATTAGCAATTATATCTGGATACATTTCCCCAGGCAAGGGAAACAAAAACAAAAATAAACAAGTGGTACTAAAAAGCTTTGGCACAGGAAAAGAAACCATCAACAAAACAAAAAGGCAGCCTACATGTGGGAGAATATATTTGCAAGTGATACATCCAACAAGGGGCTAATTTCCAAAATACATAAAGAACTCATACGACTCAACATAAAAAAAAATGGACAGAGGACCTGGATGGACATTCTCCAAAGAAAACATGCAAACGGCCAACAGACACATGGAAAAATGCTCAACAGCAGTAATCATCAGGGAAATGCCCATCAAAACCATAATGAAATAGCACTTTACACCAGTCAGAATGGCTAATAATCAACGAGACAAGAAATAAGTAATGGCAAGGATGTGGAAAAAGGGAACTCTTGTACACAGTTGGTGAGATTGCACATTGGCACAGCCACTATGGAAAGCAGTGTGGAGGTTTCTCAGAAAACGAAAAACGGAAATACCGTATGATTTAGCAATTCCATTTCTGGGAATTTACCCAAGGAAAACAAAATCACTGATTTATAATGTTATGTAGCACTCTTAGGTTTATCACAGCTATTGACAATAGCCAAACTATGGAAGCAACCTAAATGTCCATCAGTAGATTAGTGGATAAAGAGGTGGTATGTATCTACAATGGAATATTACTCAGCCATAAAAAATAATGAAATTTTTTCATTTGCCAACAACGTGGATGAACCTAGAGGGTATTAAGCTTAGTGAAATAAACCAAACAGATACCATATAATTTCATTTACATGTGGAATTTAAAAAAGCAAGGTGAAAGAGTGAACAAAACAAATAGATTCATAGTCACAGTGAAAAGACTAGTAGTTGCCATAGGGAGGGATGTGGGGAAATGGTTGAAAAAGTTGCAGGGGTGGGGAATAAATTAGAATATTTAATATCTTGATCTCAGCAATGGTTACATAAGTGTATAAATGAGTCACAATTGTTCAAGCTGTACATTAAGATTTGTTCATTTTATTGTATATACCTCAATTAAAAAATAAAATGCTTTATAAGTTATAAGAAAATAATACAAAATAATTTTAAGGTTTTTATTTCTGAGGTTTCTGAAGGATTTTATCAATCCATCATATTGATGAATCTTAAATTATAATTTTTTAAATAGTTTTTCACCATTACTTTGAAATACAGAAATGTATTGAACATTCTGTACCAGTACCTATCTCAGGTGCCCTTTTTTTTTAGATGAAGTTATATAGAATTCATAAAAATGCTTGGTTTGAGTGTGTACATATTTAATATTTTGACAAATTCTTTTAAACAATCTTATTTTGTATGTATTTGTACAAATTTGAGAAACCTTCTGGTGATTGGTAATGCATGTTACTATGTACCTTCCTGATCACCTGGCAGTATTAATCATCTTAATTTGATACGTTACAAGGAAATCTTGTTTTAACTTGTGCATATTCTCATGCTTTATGGAGGATTTTTCTTATCCATAACTCCTGCCCATTTTTCTACTTGGACTATTCTTTATTAATAAGAGCTTTTTATGACTAAATAAATAAGCCTTCTGTTTATAAGAGGCTATGAATTCATTTTTTTAACTTTGTACTAAAATGAATTTTGTGTCAGTTACATTCTTTTTCTGATCGCTTTTTTTTTTCCTGTTACGACTTCCTGGTTTGGTATAAGGCTTAATAGGAAGACCTTGCACATGACATTATTACTGAACTTTTAACTTGTATTTTAATTTTTAACCTGTATTGTTTTTTAGAACTTAATTAGTTGATTACTTTAACTTAAATCTCACTTCCTCTGAGGA